TTTTAATAAACTGTGTGGTGTAATTATTCCTGCTTTTATGTATTCAGCAACTTTCAACTGATGTCGTTTGATATTTGTGCCTTCGTGGGATCCTAATTGAACTGTTATTTGTTCTGCATATTGACCGATTTAGTGCAAAGAACTTGCAGTCAGGCTCATTTTATAAACATGAGCCAAAATTCACAGTGATTTGATTGAAATAGAATTTTATTTATACAATCTAAAAGAATTCAGACACAAAGGAAATGGAACATTTTAAATCCATCTCCTCCTGACAACTGCATTTCGCAAGTCTCAAGTGAGAAGAACATGTAAAAATGTCTCTTGAGCATACTCTCTCTACTTTTACTAGGGATGCACGATATATCGGCCACCATATCGGTATCGGCCGATAAATGCTCATTTTTTCTGTTATCGGTATCGGCCTGATAAGAAAATTTGGCCGATATCTTAAAGCCGATAAATAATGCATTATTTCCTTCAGAGACACTTCAGATGCGCGCTGTTCGTTTGCAGCCTTTTGTGCAATTGTACGTTGTAATATTGTGTTTATTTGATGTATATCTGATTTATCTCATATAGAATGCGTTTGGTTAAGTTAAAAGAGCGCTTCAGTTTACCGGTGATCGTCTTTAGCTCAGCGCACGCAGCTCAAACAGCAGTGCACAACATTAATAACTGTGATTGGGAATGTTGTGTATATAACATTCTAATGAGAACATTATTATAATAAAACGTTGTGCATTCTTTGGGTTTAGTTGCTGTGTTTCAGCGCGTTGATATGGGAAGAGCGCATCCACAACAGGATCACACATTCTGACTAAAGCACGCAATAACTGCATCATTTTGTACATATATAAGTTGTAATATTATGTTTATGTTGTATTAATATTAATCTCAGGATGCATTTCCTTGAGTTAAATAAGCTGCCAGCAAAACGCTTCAGTTTACCATGTTCATTCAGCTCTTCAGCTTCAGCACGCGCAGCTCAACGGCTGCTATTTAAAACAGTGGTATTAATTTGTTACTTTTTCAAAATCATCGATACATTATTAATAACAACAACCACTTGTATTTTTCTCTTATTATTTTCATCAACAATATGGTTTAGTAATTAAAATAATTTAATTATTGTCCGTGCAGAGGATATTCTGTTTTATTGATCTGTGGCGCATTCATTTTGATTCTTTACACGTGTAATGATGTCCAATGACTTGCTTGCATTATTTATGCATTATTTTATTTATTTGTAAGACTTTTTTATGACTAAATTTGGTAATGGGAGAGTAAAAATATTTTTAAAACGTACACCGTTCAAACTAGGCTGCTTATGTTGAAGTGTTTGGGATGTGGCTTTTAATGATGAGACCTTTTTTGTAATCAGGCTCTCAAAAAGTATATAAAAATTTGGATATAGATTTATCGGCCAACATATCGGTTATCGGCTTTCAAAAATAAAGAATAATCGGTATCG